CTTCTCTTTTCCTGTTGTCTTTGCTGAAACACTGGGACTTCCATCTTGTTTGAGTGGCTGGCAGTAAGGACAAACATAATCTTCCCTGTATCCAGTTTGTAGACAAGGATGTTTGACCTGAACTTTGCCATTACCAGCTGTTCCTCCCAGCATCTTCACCAGATGTGCCACAGATTTATCGAATGCATCATTTAATCCATAACCAGAAAGAGAATAAGCACTAAGTTGATGATTGACAGAACCAATGGTCAGACCAACACCTGTGTCACCTTGGACGGCTTTGTCAGTCTCAAATGTCACCTGTAATGATGATCCGCCTAAATCAAGTGAACCATAAGTCATTTCAGAAGCAGAAGATGCAGTGCCAAGCATGTTCAGGTGGTGGTTAAGAGCTACCCATCCATAATAAGCTTCTTCCATGCCACTGATGATCTTAACTCTGTCTCTACTACAAGAAAATGATGAATTCTTCAGAACATCCCAAGCCTTATCCATAAGCCACTCTGAATCTGCAGTGGGTAGCTTGCGGACACCAGCTGTGGCATATAGAAAAACAGGAGTGTGCTTGTGTGCGCGTCTTGGGATCTGCCGCTCAGCCATTTGAAGGAGGGGCTCTATTGCCTTCTTCATACCAGTTTCATTGTGAACAAGCTTGCTCAACCCAGGTTCAGTTTCCATTCGTTGATAGGCACGCCCGATTAATTTACCAGATTTTTTCTTAGGAGCATTTCCTAAAGGTTTCAAAGCAATAGGAAATGAATTTCCATCATTATGATTGATGGACCACTCGTAAACATACACTCTTGTACCAGTGCTGCCACAATCAAGAATCACATAGTATTCAGAGCTACCTTCTGAGAGAAAGACATGGAAATATCTCAAAGAAGCATATATGAAGCACACCAATAGGATCAGACCAACAGCCCAAGCAACTGTTCTCATCCATTTCTTTCGATTTGTTGGTGACGATGGGGGCGTTCTCTCTTTGGAAAAGCTTGCTACAGGACCTTCTCTTTGAAGCGTGCGGACAGGCTTCGCACGCCCTGAGCTCAGATCACCACCAATGCTAGAGCCCCTTTCTAAAGTTTCAATTCTGGAGAAAGTTGGCAAATCTTGAAGAGAAGAAGAAAGCCGCATAGCTGCTTCTTTTGTAGTTGAGGTGGGAACTATTTAAAGATCACTGACAATGAGTGATAAGGAGTGACGTGGGCAAACAGAAGCAAAAGTCATAAGTGGGCAGCATAATTAGCCAGACAGTAAATTAATCCAACACCACCTTCGCACAGCCTCTGCCTGCAACAAATTCTGTATGTTAGATAGAAATATACTAACACGCCGACATCGAATAGATAACACTAGAATTTGAAGAACCTACACGCTGGGCATTCAGAAATTAGTAAACAACATTCACATGCTCAGTACAGTGCAAAGCAAAAGACTAGCGGCTAGGATAATATCACGCTATCTGAGAGATGACAAATTGTGTCACCCAATCACAACCTAGAACATACAGCGATATCTGACTTTGCCAAAGACTAATCTGCGATCATGGAACCACAGCCAAGACGCCGATTTTCCATCGACTCGGCACTCAGGGATCACAACCACCAAGCCACCGACAAATTGCAGGTTTAACCGGGGGGCACAGGGGTTCAGCTGAACCTCCAATTGGATCGACGCAAACAGACTTCTACAAGTAGCATTAGCTCAGGGAACCGCTACAATTGGATCGACATAAACAGACCTCTACAAGTAGCATCAGCTCAGGGAACCTCGTGCAGTCCTATATGAGATCGATTTGGAGAGGAATATACTGAATAAAGGAAAAGACTCCAAAGCCTATATACAAGACAAAAACCAAAGTGGAGATAGGGCTTCCTTACCAGCGACGGGAACCGCGTCCGGACGGGACGGATCTTATCCGCTCCACGCCAGTCCAGTACCAGCGGAGCGGAGGGGGATCGGAGACTGGACTGACGCGCGCGGGGCGACGGATTTGGGGATCGAGACGGACAGGGAACAGAGAGAGGGCCGGACGCCGGTAAGATCTGGGACGGAAAAGCGGGCCGCGGCCGGATCGGGCGCGGCGGCGGGGAGGAGGGCGATCCGGTCCTCCCGGGGCGAGCGGGCGAGCTAGCTAGCTGCTTCGGCGGCCGGCGGCGGGTTTGGTGGCAACGCAACGCGGGGGAGCGGCGGCGGAGGGCGGGGGCGGGGGCGGGGCGGGGGAGCCGACGCAAAGGCGGGTGAGGGATAGTGGCTCACTGGCTGCGTGCGGCCCGCAACCCGCGTGCGTGCGCGACGGCGCTGCGTCGGGGCGGAGTGGGCGGACGAAATGGGAACCCAGCGAGGAGAGACGAGCGTGACCTGGACCAAACCAAACCTGGCTAGCATCACCGACCCACGATGTGTTGCCCTTGCGGATGAACGGACGAGGGGACGAGAGAGGTGCAGCCGGCTCCCCCAAGGCCCCCAACAAACAACCTGTCGTACAAAAATCCTCCAACAAATAAGTGAAGCTGCTGCTACTTCCTAGTACTAGTGGGAACGACTTGTGTAGAATCTGAGCTTGCTGTACAAAAATAGAAAAAGACATCCTGGACCATTAGATTGGAGATCAATGGTACAGATTTAGGTGGAGGGATCTCAGCCCACTTAATGTAGATTTTACAGAAAACCCCCTACCGACAGTTAGACATGAAATAGGATATTTGCATTATGCACCTCAAGTCTTCGTGAAATACAACTACTTTCAGATATGAACTGTGCTAATGCCCATGTTCTCTTAGTCTGAAACAGCTGGTCTTATATAAAATCTGATCAAATATTTACTACATGAAATCCAGACACATTTATGTGACACCACTAATTTTTCAAGAGAGTCGAACATCTTGGCCACTAAGAAACCACAATATATATAACAAATATTTTAGTACATGACATAATAAGCCATCCCGGATCAAGTAGAACCACGCGTACATGTCAAACTGGAAATATATCAATTTAAGAATTGAAATGATAGCTGCTCGGCAAGCATTTCAGTACTTGAGTACATGAGAACACATCACAAGAGGCAAGCAGAACCACGCGTACATGTCAAACTGGAATTAGAGCAAATTAAGGACTGAAATTATCAGTGCTCAGCAAGCATTTAAGTACTTGAGTACATGAGGCATACAGATCATTTTTAGTATATGGCCGGCAAGACCAAATGGTAAAGACTGAAATTATCATCGCCCAACAAGCTACTTGCTGGTACAAGACCAAAAATATCTATTGTTTTGCCTCGTGTGGTGCTTCCTGGCAATCGAGCTTCCTGCTGGGAGAGAGATGACAACCTCCATGGACTCTTATACACTTCACCAGTTCGATCTACCTAGGTAAACACACCAAGTAAATATGGGTCAGTCAGAAACATATACCAAATAGCATATCTTGAGAAGAGAGACAGTCCCAGTCATTATATATGTCCAGCTGCATTCAACACTCCAACCTAGGAAACATAACAGAGAGAGTACAAATATTTTGTTGTAGCATAGTTCATTATTCCATTATAGACCTACGACAAATGGATTACAATTCCAGGATTAGTTAAAAGAACAAATGAGAACGATAAATAAGAGGCATTGAGCAATTTAAAGGGAGTTTTATCAATGCCCTGTAGATGCAAATTATTATTCAAATTTGATAGCTATAAACAGCAAACTTGATGGCATGCATTATATTATACCTTGAAATAATAAGAAAACCACATCAGCATGGGAAAATATAAATGAACAAGATGCCAGATAGGCTCATGTCATGGATGAAGGATTAGTACTAAATCACATACACACATCCTTGCTGTAGCGATGCCATAGGTCAGTAAAAATGGAAGGCGCACATATCTCTGGTAAATGATCTATGTATGCCTAATCGTTTCAATAAACCTAGTTGAGTGGTCCTAGCAAGACAAATAAGTGCATGAGTATTTATTATGTGAAGTGTTTGTAATTAAGCACATATTCCCTTTTTGCGTAGAAAATCAAGAGTTTGGGTATGATAGCCAATTTTAAATTCAGACCTGTGTTTTTTTATACAATATCAAAACTTCTTTCTGAAAAAAAGAGCTCCCCTCTCCTATTTCATTTCTGTAAAACCAATGTGTTGCTACAGAGAAAGGGGAAAAACATCTAAAGAACTCTACAAGTGTTCCAGTTTAACACTAGAGCAAGGGAGGCTAAAGTAACCCCTGTACTGGGCAAGCTAAAAAGGTATCTGACACAGCGCAAAGCAAAAGCAGTAGAAATGGAGGCCAACAACTACCATCATTACAAAACCACAACATATCAACTTGTTCCATTTGCTTCAGCTGATTGGAAAGTTGTCTAGCAGCGATCCACCAAACTGTTGGAATTAACAACCTTGTCCATAGAGAATAGTTGCTTGTTTCCTATAGTAGTCCTAGTGATCAACATGACCATGTGATTAGATTAGGAAAGTAACCGGTTTGAAATAGAATCGGAGTTGTACAAGTCGGCTGCACGGGCGCAAATATATCCCTGCATCAGCATATGTATCTTTGCATGGAGAGAGAAACAAAATAGCCACTGTGTCTCATGTGTGTGCATTTTGGCTTGCTGCTGAAGAATCGATGAAGCCAGAGCAGCCTACTTCGTGTACTAGTGCATCTCGCCGGAATAGCTAGATTTGCTAGTGTATTGCTTCCTGGTAGAAACAGGTTAGCGTTTATGTACAGTTGGTGCGCTGCTTCTGGTAGCAATACACAATAGCACAACTAAGTCATAGCAGTAATCAACATGCTGCTTCTGGATAAAATAAGAATCCAACAAATATAAGCATTACCCCCAGAACGGATCTGCTTCTATTGTACTCAAGCTGTTGTTCATTCTTGTTCTGTTGCTACCCACCAACTAAATGGACAGATTCGACATTAACAAGTAGAAAGAATATAAAACTATAGAGATGTAGTACCAATCTAATATACAGTAGCTAATAAAAATTTAACATTTATATTTACCTGAAGAACGAAGAACTGTGGTGGCCTGTTCGCGGAACCAGAAGCGGACGGCCGGGAAGGAGGCGAGGATCCACGACCGCCGAGCTAGTGCTGAATCGCGAGAGGGGGTGGGGGTGGAGGAGGACGGCGGCGAGCTGATCTGGGAGCGAGCGGGGAGGAGGTGAGGAATCCGATCTAATCTGCCACAAACTGCGCCACCGGCAACGAAACGGTTAGGATCCATCGGAGAGGAGATGGATCAGCATCTTCTCTGCGCGAGCCTGCCCAGCTTGGCTCAGGATCTTGGCCGCCGCCGCAGCCGTCGCCGCAGCCGCAGCCGCAGCCGCCGAGAAATTTTCGGTCCGGTGTCGTCGCTGTGTAAGGATTTGGTACAGAGTAGGGAGGGCAGCGAACGCAAATTTGCTTGTAGCGTTGGACCTTTTCACAAATTTTGTTCAAAGATCCCTCCATCCGGTCCTGTGCCATCGATCTCTCATCCGATGGCCCAACATCATTTCTTCTATTTTTCCACCAGAAGCTCAGATTCTACACAAGTCGTTCCCAGTACTAGTAAGTTTGCACGTGCAACGCACGTGTAACCTTAGGAAGAATTTTGAGTTGTCTGTCTTGCATCCAAATGTCTGCTACACTTGTGGAGAACAAAACTTTAATGGTTTACTCATGTCGTTCTCCACCCCATTTGTCCCCGAGTTTAATTTCCTCCATTTTATGATTAACGAAATATTTCATGAACAATTTTTCTTTGTCCATGAAATTTTGTTGAAAAAATATATCATGTCTATTCACCTTCAATCATCCTGTCACTTTCGAAATTGGAATAGTATTAAGTTTGAATTAATGTCACTATATTTGATCATGAATGCTTATTTAATAGCAGGTGACACATATACCTTATTTTTACAAGTAATTCCAACCTCGACAGCTGATTATATGATACCACAAAAGAAAATCCATTTCATTTGTTAGACACAAGACAAACCTCTCAAGTATTCAATATTAGGAAAGCAAACTGCTAGATTAAGTTCGCATGAGCCATAACTTAAGGTTCTTCTAAAGAATCGGAATCTGTAAATCATAAAAATCAACGAAGCTTCGGCGGAGATATAGCTCCACATTGTCCATGTAGTTCAAAACAGTCGCCTAAAGGGCTTGTACCTGAACACATTTCAACCAAGCAGTGAAATTAATCATTCATTCAGTTCAAAGGTGTGTGCAGGATGGGATTAATACAGAAGTCAACAAAACAAAATGCCGAGCATAATGTATCTCAGATTGCATTGTGAAAACAAATATAATGTGCTAACTTCCTTCAACTTGTATACAAGTTAATGTAAGTGTGTGAGAGAGGTGACAGGACACACCATGAACTCATTCCTTTCACCAAGCAGTGCATACTTTCCATAAACGAAAAATACCAAAAGCTTATACTACCTTAAAAATCCCAGCAGATGAAACTACAAAAATATTGAAATTTACCGTACACTCATTTAGCTAGCCAATTGTACAATGTTGCATAAGAGAACATGTAGGACAGTACCCCCAGTCAACCATTCAAGAACCCTGCATGTTAGAATTTCAACACTTGGTATATGAGTATGAATGTCAAGGCACCAATGAAATACAGAGCTAAGAAAAAAATACATCAAAGTTGAGTGGATATAGAGCTAGACAAAAGAACCAGGTGCCTTGAGAACTAATAAAGGATAAAAAAAGAGAAACAATCTGAACAAACTTGCCTAAGCTTTGGCTAATAGCAAATAACATGGCATGGTAACATGACTGAATTGTACGTACAGTCCACTATGGATTCCAACAAACAACCCCTCCTTACCTCCATACTGTTCATGTGAAAGCACTTTTCTGAACGACCTCGTCCTGTATCTCATATTATACTGAACTGTAAGTAAGACCACTTGTTAATGCGCTATCCAAATCTGTGAGCAAAGAAAGAAGATAAAAAAGCATTCCGATATGATCATACGTAGTGCCTGATTACAGTAATAACAGCCTTAACAGCAAAGAGTGTGGGTTTCTAGGAAGCTATCTGTTGAGTTGCACTCCGTCATAGTTGGGCCAGCTGGCGAGTGCCTAGGAACCGTTACAGCGACGCTTCAGGCAAGTCTTGAACTGCACAAGATCAATTATGGTTTCTTCCTGAAGGCTGAATGCACAAGACAACAAACGAATGCTTGATCCCCTCCATGCCAGCTAAAAAATGCAAACAGAATGGTTGGACAATCTCTCGTCGCAATGATCCCTTTCCAATACAAAAATTAGAGAAGCCAAAAGAATGAATGGTTGGACAGGGGTGGCATGTCTAACTCGAATACTCGTTGCCGATCCCTAACTGCTTGCTCTGCCACTGCATGCGCCCTCTGTCCATCTTTTGCCTGGCATCTGAGATGTAGATGATTCCAACCGGTGAGCTTCCTGTGTGGTTCACCACTTCACATCTCCACCGATGGATGAATGGAAAAGAGGCATGTCCAGGATAGCTACACTGCATGAAAAACTAGGCATGATTCCCTGATCGTGACGGAAAAGCACCCAAATGAGTATTTTCCATCTGCTTGTTGGTGAGCCAAAAATACAAGCAATGCAAATCACATTGGTAATGAAGCTTAACTGCTGAATGTGTGCATTCAAATAACCAATCGAAGATTGTTTTGAAACTCTAGTAACAAGCTTGCTTTGGCTGGCTTCAGTTTTATCAACGTGAATCAATATGTCACACATGAAAAAAAAATCAAATGTGAAGCAGCACGTCACTGAAAAACAAGGTGAAGGAAACAAAGCAGAGATGAAATACCTCCGGCCCGACGGCTACCCGTCCCCTAGCTGTGCGAGATGAGGAGATGTGAATAGAGCACGGTTTATGCGGCGTCCCCGACGGCCCACAAGGCAGTTTCAGCGGACATCCGACCAGGCGGCGTAGGAGGCGGCGTCCCCGGCCGGCCAGGCGGCGTAGGACAGTAGGAGGCGGCTTCTCACCGACAGCGTCGCCGACAGCCGAGGCCAGACAAGGCGATGGGTGGGGGCGGTATGGAGGCGATGGGGGCGGCAGATCGAGGCGTTGGGGGCGGCATCCTCGAGGCGCGGCATCTGGATGCGAAGGGGGCGGCTTCTTGAAGGTGCAACGGCTCGACGCGATTGGGGCGGAGCGAGGAGGCGTCCCATGTCCATGATGCTGCGGCGGTTCCCTCCTTTCGTGTGATAGGAACGGGATCAGCGAAGGGAAAGAGTGTTTAGCGCTAAACGTGTTTAGTAGCTCACCATTAGGACAATACAGACAGTTGGATTAACGCCAATGAATGGTTGAGATGTGTTGGATCTGCTTCTTTGGGTCTTTTTATATTGGTATAGACTACTTTTTTTAGTTGACAAAACAAAGCATACTTGATACCGTCATCATCAGGAAACGTCGTGAAGATAGATCGAAACACCGGAAGATAGTCCATCGGACATGAAAACGGCGCCCATCAGAATGAAGCATCGACACCATAACCCTTTTTTTGTGTTCCAATTGAGAGCTTTATTCAACGAAAGAGCTCCTAGCATCATCAGCTAAAAGGCTGGTGAATAGGAAAGAGGGTCTAGATCCGGTCCAACTTTCGGTGAACATCAGTGTGCATGCATGTTTAGCACAAAGGTGGGCCGGTACATTGGCTGATCTGCTTACATGTTGAATATCAAAAGAAGAAAAAGAGACAGCTAGCTCTCCAATTTCTAAAAGTAAAGGTGCCACAACAGAAAGGCTATTGTGGCGAGTGTTCCAGAGATTAACAATCTCCAGGCAGTATGTTTCCATGATCACATGGGAGAAACCACGTAGATTAGCAAAGATAACTCCATCACGCAGCGCCATCGTCTCCCCAATGAACGGATCCGAAATCCCAGGATGGGGTTTACTCCAAGCACCCAACAAAGCATTTGTGGAGCAAGCGACACCTCCCGCACCTACCTTGTTGGAGTCCAAGTTCACAGCCGCATCTGTGTTTATCTTGACGATCCCCAACTCTGGAGGTAACCACCCAAAGTCCGGGAGTACCGATGCATGTGAATCGGGCATATCAAGCCAAGCCAAATCCTCCTGAATTCTCTTAACCGAAGTAAAAGGGTCGAGCTGATCATCCGCATGAGTAACTCTATTCTGCAAGTGTCATGTAGTCCACATTACTGATATCATTTGAGCCCTTTCAACCTTAGAAAACCTCCCATCACATATAATGTCACGGGACCATGTATCAGGGTGCAAGCGCGGCCTTCGAAGATTAAAGAGTGCAAAGGCTTGTTCCCAGAACAACTTGGCATGGGAGCAATGCACTAAGACGTGCATAAGATCCTCATCCATTGCATTACAGACATTACATCCGCTGATTACCTTTATATGACAATGCCTCAAGGTACATTCATCTGGAAGAATTCCACGCACCACTCTTCACCAGAAAACATGAACCTTCAGCAACACCTTGAGCTTCCTAAGCGACTTCCACATCTGTTCTTCTGTCTGTGAGGATCCGGTAACCATCCCTTCCTCTAGAGCTGCAAGCTCCTTCTGAGTCACAAGAGCACGGTACGCCGATTTTACAGAATAGATGCCACTTATTTCATGGGCCCAAGCAAGAAAATCATCACCACCACCCGCCCGTAGTGGGATATTCAGTATAGCGTCGGCATCGGGGGCTATAAACACATCCCTGATCAGGTCCCGACGCCACGTCCAGTTCTCCAGGTCAATGAGCTGATCTACTGTCTCAAGAGTAGTCCCACCCGGAACCACCATGGGCGACAAGGAAGCGAGACCTGGAATACATCTATCATGCCAAATTGAGATTGTAGTCCCGTCTCCCACCCTCTTGATCAGCCCAGCTTGGAACGCCGCCCTGCCTGCCACTATCGCTCGCCAAATGGCAGAGGAAGTCTTTGGCACCGTAGCCTCCATAAATTCACCATCAGGGAAATAACGGCCCTTCATGACCTGTGTTGGGTAACGTAGCAGAAATTCAAAATTTTCTATGCATCACCAAGATCAATCTATGGAGATTCTAGCAACAAGAGAGGGATATGATGAGCATCTTCATACCCTTGAAGATCGCTAAGCGGAAGCGTTTCAAGAACGCGGATGATGGAGTCGTACTCGCGGCGATTCAAATCGCGGAAGATCCAATCTAGCGCCGAACGGACGGCGCCTCCGCGTTCAACACACGTACAGCCCGGGGACGT